GTCAGTATCATCGATTTTGCAAGGGTCATAGGAACCAACGGCTTCATTTAACTTTCGTTTACATCGGAAATTGAAATTAACAGTCTGACATTTGGAAGGATTAAGTTTAAGGCCGTTAGACGAAGACCATTTGCTAATTTCTGATAGAAAGCTATTTATCTTAGTGCAGTCAGGCTGAGAGTTAACAGACATTGAAATAGTTAGTTAACCCTAAGAACAATAGACAGCTTTCGGCGGTACCATTAAACTGGTGAATGTCCGCCATTGGTCCTCTTTGTCACCTTGCCGGCAAGTAAGTAGTCGTAGAGTCGTGTATTGTTTTTAGTTGGCACTCTTCTCAGCAAGAGGAAGCAGGAATACAGCGTAATGAGTGTCAACCACGAAGAGATGTAGAAGTGAATGAGTAAATCAAGGCTAGATTCAATACTGGAAATTTCAAAGATTGATGATGAGTATTTAGCGCTAATCTAATCATCATTTATTTCCATATAACAGTTATAATAACATCTCATTTCTTGTCTTTCTTCCAGCTTCTTTTTCAGTAAGTTTAGTAGAACAAACAAGCAACTTTCCGATTCCATCCAGTAGTGATTCTTCTTCATTATGGAAAGTGTTTTGGTCAGCCAATCCTGTGACAGATGTACAAGTTAAACGGCCTACTGTGCATTCTTCATGTTCAGTAAGCAAAAGGCTGACTTTGGGACGGGATGTATTTCAGTTGATGCATACAAAAACTGATTCACTCAAGAATAATTGTTGTCAGTCGACTGATAAATTTGCTATCCTGTCATCTGATCCTAACAAAGCTGGACATGGGCAATTGGTTATACCCTTTCGTTTTACACCTGTTTCATCACATGAAAATACAATGTTTCAAGATTGGCACCTTAATTTTTGGATAGAACCATCATACTCACAGAATAAACCTCGTCATGAAGTACAATTTAACCCAAAAGGCTCGGTTACACTTTTAGTCACTTTAGAAGGTTCGGTAAGTATGAGTTTGTGTGCAAGTTTGTCCTCTTTTGTTTTCGGAAGTTTGTCCAGATTAAGGCTGTTTTAGTGGAGACTGATTTCGAGATTAAAAAATTGAGTGGTGGTGATGCTTTGATGATGTCAATTATTTCAACGTGTGTTTACATTTACTGTGTTGACTGTACAATAAAGTTAAAGATTGCATGTAATTCTAGGTAAAGCTTTAAAATATCCAGTATACGATGTCACTTACATATTTGGAATGAAAACACGTTTAGAATAAAAGAATACAGATGTTTCTAATGTGTTGGCATTGAATTTATTTATTTATTATTTATTTAAACGCACAAAAAAACCTGGTACAGTATGGCACTAAGAAAGATGCCCAGCACAATAATAATAATAATAAAACAACATAGATTAAAAGTAAAAATATAAGTAGAAAACGGATAAAGAACTTCATCTGGAAGGAAAACAGTCATGTTTAACAAGTTCAAACAGTATTCGTTAACTATCATCAGGAAGGGAAGAAAGAAGGAAATTGCAACACGTTCGCCATTGATTACGATTCTTGGCCATATCCGATAACGTTTCGAGCCATCGATTCGAGCTATCTCGCGGACCCAAACCAGGGAGTCGTGACACCTAACCGATGCTAATCTAGCACAAATATCCTTCATCCCACGACGCCACGTCATGGACTGACCACCCCTCCGCCTCTTCCATCCCGTCCCAGGGCTAGCGAACAGAGACCTGTACGGAAGCCTCCGTGATGACATTCGCAGCACATGTCCAAGCCACCGGAGCTGGTGTTTCCAGATGACGACACTCAATGAATGGTGATCTCCACTGTGTTCAAACACACGCTGCCGAACCTCAGAATTACTCACGCGATGATGCCATCGAACGCAAGCAGTCCTGCGGAGACAGCGATGATCGAACACACAGAGTCGCCGCACATCCTCAGCTCGGAGAGGCCAGGTTTCACAGGCGTAGAGCAAGACAGCCCGCACCGAAGCATTGTATACCCGACCTTTGACAGCCAGGCTAACGTCGCGACGGCGCCAGAGGTTGCTCAAGTTGATGTATGCCACCCTAGCCTTCATTATACGGTTGAAAATCTTATCCGTCACCCCTCCGCCAGCACTCACACAACTACCCAGATACACAAACTTATCAACAACTTCAAGCGGTTCACCGGCAAGAGTGAGTGCAGGTACAGGCTCCTGCCAATCTTGTAACAGTACTTTGCACTTAGACGGTGCAAAGCACATACCATACTTAGAGACACTGAAACTTTATTTCTATTTTTAAACTGCTTGATCTGGGCATATCGGCACTTGTTTTTTTTATCGGTGAAATACCCATTTGCCCTTTTATAATATGTGCCTGTTGTTACGGCGTCTCCTTAATCAGCCCATCTGGTTTCAACAAAACTGAATTAGTCAGTTGTTGGTTTGACAAATTTTCACTGTGTGTAATACTTAACTTAATTCTCATTTATCTTCTCTTTTAGTGCTGTAAACAACCTACGCTAAATAAAAGATCTCCATGCGCTCATCTACAAAACACGTGTAATAGCAAACTTGAAGTATCCTCTTCACTGTCCAAAGATCTCACATTCAATGATCGTAGTGTGTCGTTGTCGAGAGAAAGTGCTGCAAAATCTGTCCCTATAGGTCTACTTGATATTGTCGGTCTACCGGTTAAATTTGAGATCATAGATTCAAAGTCTACAACAACCAAAACTCGTTTCCACAAGGTAAGCTTTTTTTATGTTCATTTAACATTTAACATAACACTTTATGTTTAGCATTTATGTTGGCTTGTTTTTTCTAAACAGATATATTTCACTCTGTGAGTCACTGTCCTCCTTTCTGCTTCATTGCTAGATTATGCTGATCAATCGCTTGAAGACAGCAGAGGTTTTCGTCAAACTTCAACTTCCAAATCCACCATTTTATATGACAGAACCAAACGAAACGAGGTTTCGTATAGCGTGAGTATCATTTTATTTTATTTTAACAAAATTCCACATGTTTTATGCACACTAACTAACTAACTAGATTATGAATAGAGAACTTTACAGAACAGTGTATCAGTTCAGGTTGCCATATTTCGGAGTAGCACTAAAAAGTAGCAAAAACATGCGTAATTAAACTATAGAAGACGAAATTTTACGGGAAGGAGCAATTAGATGACGACTAATGAAGATTTTCGTCATCTTGATAAAACATTTGCGTCATTACGAGCGATTTTAAACCGGTCACTGATTTTTAGTATCGCTAAGATTTCAGTACTCGAATTGCAACGTTCTCATTTGGTTATCTCTGGATTTCTCAACGTAGTCGTACTTCAGCTAACTTTGTTAGTCGAGAAAAGCTGTGGTCCGGTATGTGTAACACATACTAGCCCTTGTATTCGATAGCGTTTGACTGACTTCCTCTCATTACGCCTAATTAATTATCATGTTATTCTATATAACCCAAAGATACTGGTGGTCAGGTACTCCTAGTCTTATATTAACCTCTATCTTCAACTGCATGTCTCACAGATATGGAGTAAAACCTAGTAAACTTCTGATCTTTGCTTGTTCTCCTACGTATGGGCACTAGGAAAATTCCTTTTCATTGAAATTCACTCAAGCAAATGAGTTCCGTAATCGCTAGTATGTGCTACACCAGCAAGGGCGCGAGGATTATCTCGTCCGATGGATTTTCTTTTGATCTTGGATTGATAAGGTAAGAGGATAACTGTACCTATCTATGGTCTATAAAGGTACAGTATACACTCAAACTCTGAATTTTGTTTAATAAGACCCAGGAATGATGTTAATCTGACTCCAAGCTCTAGACAAAGAGAAACGGTAAAGAGACTGTCTGGTGAGTAGTAGTATTAGTCAGACTAGTATCTTAAGCTGGTGGGAGATGTACATGGAGATGCATATACCATGGTAGGTTATGCCTTCTAGTATCTGATAAATATATTAGTTATTTACAGGATCACCAGTTTTACTCAACTTCCCCACATACTTTCCCATCACTGTTTTGAAATGTGCTCAGATACTGCAAACTGTTTGACAAATATATAAATTTTTTTAAACTGTCTTTCGGAAACTTTAGGCCTCGTTCTCGTGTAAAGCTAGTGCTTAGCTTTCAACCTTACGATTTGGGACGTGCAAGTTCAGTTTTGGGAATTCGTGTTGAGTGCCGCAACCAAACAGAAGCCGAAAAACCAACTGTTGATACATTTCAAATTCACTTATTTGGCACAATGAACTAACTTTGCTTTCTTATATTTCGCACCTACATGTATATTTCTATTGTGATCTTAATATTTACTAAATAGCATATGAATTTGAATACACTATTATTTCCTGTGGCTTCATAACTTATTCTCTCATTGTGAGGAACAAACCACACACACTATTTGAATTTAGAAATCCGCAAACTTTAGAAATAAATGTAAGATCATATAGAAAAACGATTGCAAGCTATACGTATCTGTAAGACAGGTTGGTGGTTGACAAGATCAGTAGATTAGGTCAGAAGATCGACGGTCCTAAACATCCATCGACAAGCGAAGTTAGAGCATGGTCATCTAAACCATCCTGTTGATTAGTACACGTGTCGCGTGGTCCTTAATTATTCATTTCCATTCCTACGCAAGCATACACAAAAAAGCTTCGCGCATTCCGGAACCACTAAAAGTAATTAAAATGTATTGACTAGTGCAAGTCGCTACACTTTTCAGCAAATATTTTAAGAGAAGCTGAAATACGTAGTAGGACGAAAAACAAAGCTAGTGATAGGTAGACTATTTAAGAAAACTAAAATTCTCGAAATTTGAGTACTGGGTGCTTTTTTGACCTGATATAGCTACTGAATCTATTCTAGGTAGCTAGAATGTTTTAAACTGATCTTAATCGAGCTGTTGATACGCTGCCACTTGGCTTAACCGTATAAATTTATTTAGAATAGGAACACGTGAATAGAAAAATAGTTTTTATTATTGACAACTTTATATCACTCAGATGTAGTAAAAATTCTGCCTCTATCACGAGCTTTACGAATTTTTTTCGAAAGCTTCTTTGTCCTTCTTGCTTGGATATTTGCTGTTCTTTTCATTTGTTTCTCACGCATCTTTTGTTCAGTGGCTTCTGTGCGTTTTTTCCAATTTATAGCACTTTTCCTCTTGAGTTTTTGTACTTTTTTAGCTGATTTTTTAAGCAGTGATATGTCATCTTTAACCTTCACACCTCGAATAATAACAGACTAGTTACAGTGAATTTGTCTTACCTTGAGCTTTAAGGGATGCGATCCTCCACTTCTTGCGTATCAGATCGTTGGATGTTATATCTGAGTTACTGGAAGCTGATTCGGAGATCTTGGTAGCTTTTTTCAACAAATTTATAGGGTCTTTGCCGATAAATATTCCTTCTCTCTCGAGTTTTGCCAGTTTTCTCCTCTTCTTTCGTTGGAATTGTTTTTGTATTCCATAGTTTGTAATTTCATTTGGATCATAAAGTTCGATTTTAGAGAAATAGTATTTCTCAGAATCCATCTTATGACTTTACACACATATAGACAGATAATATGAGTATTATGCTATCTAGATAACCTATGAATGAAAAAACCAAACAGTGTAATGGATAAGTTAGGAAATGATAACATTTATTTTATTTTGCACTTACCAACACTAAGAAAAGTGGTGTTCACTTATATTTATTATATATTTTTTCTTTGGCTAGTTGTTCAGTATTCCATCAGTCACATGCTGTCCGTATTTTCTGACCAGTTTCCAATAAATGACAGAAAAAAGTGTAGCCGAGTATACACTTAAAGCACTACGTGTTTTTTTCTTTTCGTTCAGCAGTATAGAAGCAGAACTCACTTATTATTTAAAGTATGGTACAAAGTGTTTTTATGTACAATACACGTACATTGTATGTCCATGTTGAGAAGACTGAAATGAAATAAGGTGAATGCAGTTTTGTAACAGCATTGATGTAAGCCGCCTATAAGCTACTCGACCACGATTATGCAATATGCAGAGCCGTTACAACTGTTCCATACTCTGCTGAACAATAAGTTCTAGTAGTTCTTGAGACTTAAAAAAATACTCTAATTATTCAGTACAAAAAGATGAATAAGATCTATTACTAATGGCACTGCACTACAAAAAGTCTGACCTCACTGCAGTAATGGAAAGTATAACTAGATATTAAAGTGCTTTCTATTTATTTCATACCGTTCATCATTCTAAGCACTAGATCTTCAGTCTGTAAGTGCAATATCTGTTCTCCTTGAAGATTTGTTCTACCATGAGCCAGCACAGTGGATGTGGCTCATTGCCAAGTGTGTGGAAATACAAATGGCTGCTAAGTAAGAACACGCAATTAAATACCAGAATCCTTTATACATGTGATAAAGATGGACTATTACTAGAATTTCTTTAATGTGGAAATACAAGTTTGTTTTGTAGACACTCAATGTGCTCCAGTGTAATTTGTCAATATAAATTACAATCCTGATTTTGTTTCAACTTTATACGATTTTAATTTCATTAAGGCGCGCATGAAAGACGTCCGTGAACTTGCAGGAAAATGGGTACGGATTAAGATAACCGGGTAAATAAAATGTGTCCTTCAGAAGCTTTATATATAAACTACGCTTCAATTTGTAATCATCCCACATAAAAATACAAACAGATTATAGTTGTTCCATCCTCCAACTTCACAAGAGAGGTATAGTGCACATTGGTTTGATGATATTAGATGGTTGGAGGCAATCAGCAGGAAGCCTTGGACATAGGTTTCGTGCTAGTTGGCACTCGTTAGCAAGGCGTATCTGCAACTTTGAAGGAACTCGGGTCCCTTCTGAGATTCGGACCCGCCTCACCCAGTGGCTGCAGTTAGAGAGGCTCGAATTTCAGAAGGTACATGAGTTCCTTCCAGGTTGCAGATACGCCTTGCTGACTGGTGAGTGGTAACAAGTACGAAACCTAGGTCCAAGCAGGGCCTCCTGCCAATTGCCTCCATTTATCTAATATCATCAAATGAATGTGCACCATGATGGTGAGCTACCTAGAATGGTGGTCACATTGCAAACCTGACTGATAAAATTCAGTCTGCACTGAAGTAAGGACTAGACACATCAGACTAGTTACCAGTATCCAGTCAAAGGCATAATGCAAGCTGTTAGCAATGTATAACTACTGGTGATTGACTTACAAATAATATAATCAGAAGGACACTTGAACTAATAGTTCATTTGGCTTTTAGTTGTAGATCGAATGAATGACAGCCTTAACGGTCTCAGCTTTGAGAAAGTCATAGTTAATTAGGAATAAGTGAGGACATTGAGACCTGGTGGCCTAACTTCAAATATGCTTAGTGATATTGAACGAAAATTAGTGGTTTAACAACTGGTTGAAACTGCAGTTAATGCCCAGGAATCAAGCACCATTTCACCTGACTGGCATTGTTAACTAATTGTCTTCGAATTCAGAGAACATTACTTCATAGTAGCCACATACTTTCTGAGACCACTGGTAGTCACTTGTCTCCTAAATGTGACTGTGAAGAAAGAAACAAAAATATTCTAAAGCCAAAGTTGGATAATTCAGCAGTTGCCCATAAGGGTAGTCTGCATTTTTATTCAAATACGACATGGATATGCTCGTGATGGCCTCTATTTTTGTTCGCTGAGGTTCAGTTCATGACTATTAAATCTGTGATCAAAGAAAACCACATATTCTTGTTAGGTAAGTAAGTTAGAGGTCTGGAGTACTGACGTTACCAACATAAACTGTCAATATTCAGAAAGATTTGAGATATCACACTTAGAAAAAAATCCCACCACAGCAGTCTTGTGGTCGACGAAGTCTCCGTAGTAATGAAAAGTAAAATAATTCGGTTATGCTAATCACTGAATCTTTGTTTATATAAACAAGGATGATTATGAGCAGTCATTACTGCTCATAAGCATATTATTCTAGTCACACGGCTTCACAATTTGTCTTATATATTTCTTTCTCTCTCTCCGCCTTGTTGTTCGTTGCTATTTTCCGTATCCCCAGTATAAGCATTGCGTTATTCTGATTGCACGTGTGTGGCGTTGAATCGAACCCAAGCTTACTATAATGCTAAATTAAATCTCGCTAATTCTGAATCAATTCTAATATTCTATAATGAGTGAATTAAGAAATGGATCGATTATGCACAGAAACTACAACAGCATGACTGGCACTTATGTAGGACCCTGTGCTTTTTCTAGGGATTTTCAGAAGCTACTGGGTTTATTAACCACTGTTGTTTCAGCCCAGATTCAGCATTGACTGGAATTACTTCAGAACAAAAAGACATAGTTCAGCTCATAGTGGCAATTTTTTCGGCTTCGTTTCAGTACTAAAGATATTGTTTCAGCTGCAAATCCTATTTCTAAGGTTTCATCGCACCAATGAAGAGTCCGGTGCTCTTTTCTAGAACGACCTGCGTTACTTCAGTACATAGTGGGTTTATTTTAGGTGGATAAAATACTCATTTACCATAAAAGGACATTATTGATGAGTAGGTTAGTATTACTTTAGAATTATTGTAAGCGGTAAAGTTAAACTATCAGAGCCAAAACCACAATGACCTTCGGCAGCCAGTCAGAATTCACATGCAAAGGAGTCACATAATCGTCAAAAAAATACACTAAAAATACTGAAAACTTGATATTACACTATATAGTTGTGACTTATGTGTTGTAAGTGTCTCCAAGTAACAACACATGATCTATGGAGAAACCGTACCATGCGCCAAATATCCATTCATCTAGGTGAATTTAGGTCATGATATTTCGAGATCCATTAATATTTCTGACACTATTCCCCAGCCAACACATAACTCTAACTATAATACTAATTCTAGCTTTAACCCTAGACCCTACATCTTAATATTTAGCGCCACAACCCTGCCTAACAGTATAAATTTGCAGAAAGAGTACCTTGTAAATTAGGAGAATACTGTATCAATCCTCTCCAAGTCCACAGAGGAAGGCGCGATTTCAATTGGAATATTTCATAGCATTCGTTTTGTCAGATAGCATTTCGACTCTGGCTATGATAATTCAACTTTGCCTTGTAAGTTTGGGCATTTACGCTCGAAACGCAATCCACTTAATAATACTGCATAACCGTGAGATATGTGAAATAAACTTGTCTAATATAGAATTACATTCTACCACAGTGCCCAAGTTCTACAATTCCATCATATATGCATCGGTGGCACAGTGGTTAGAACTCTCGCCGACCATGCACATGATCCGGGGTTCGATCCCCTGCCGGCGCACACCCGATATCTATGGTCAGCCTGAATTTGGGCTAACGTATTCCATGCTGAAAATTCCACACTTGTACTGAAAATACAGTGTGGAGTCAAGCTGTAAATAAAAAATAAAAAATATATATTATTGTATTTCTTAACGACGCTAGAGAGCAATTTCAGTTGCTTAATCACTCGTTGAAGAATTAATACTCTTCTTCTAACCGTGTTTCACAAAAATTTGCTAACGAAAACGTCTCTAAGCTCTTCTAAAATCAACTTTGCGAAATGCCATATGACTACCATTGCGGCCAACGACCTTGTATTAACTTACCCTCCAAAAGAATGCGGTGAGTAATGTCCAGCTTCCAATATACGTTTTCATAAATGAAGAACTTTTGTGAAACTGTTAATTCCTAGGCGAAATTTAGCTGGACTTATTTGTCACGTTGGGTTGAAATTTCGCTTGGAAAATTTTTTGGTCAATAAGTTTTAATAAAATTGTGTTTTACGTTATCTGGATTGATGTGAATTCTCATTTCCTGACTTGTTATGTTGGTGTCCCCGTCATGTGATCTGACTGGGACACATTCTTAACATATTGGTTGCAATGATTAGCGTTTCAGCTGACTTTGTTAAAATATCGCTACAATGAGGAATATGGGATAGTTGGAGAGTAATGTCATCTTCACAAATCGTTTATTCCATGAGAAGCTGCACTTTTTGGCACAGTATCATTCAATGAAGACTTCACGTCTTAGGATATCAATACAGCCTATTTTCGTGCGAAGAACAATACTATTTGACGAAAGAATGCTATCAGTACATGGAAATCACCTATAAGTGCTAACAGAACCTTCTGTTGGTAACTAAGTTATCATGTAGATGTGTCTTTCACCTTATCTGTGTTCGGATAGGAACTATATTAAGTTGAAAGGTTATCTCTGAGTGGATTTCATGTATATTTGCACTGATTGGTGCAGTGCAATATGGGTTATGTGGATTGAATGTATAAAAATATCTCAATTTTATTAATATTTTGCCACTGTCTGCTTAGCTGACTGATAGGCTAACAAATGTAGGTGGTTCTAATGATTATTGCAAGTACTTTGCAGTAGAGAAGGCAATTACTCGTCTAATTTTCCTCACTTTTCCACTCAGTGCAGTAATTCAGTGTATAGTACTATTGTACACATGGATTGTGTTGATTATGAGAACCAAAATCTAGTAAGTTTTATTATTATTATTATCGATC